TACGACAATAAGGGCGGTCCCGTTATTCAACGAGGCTGATCTTCGTGACGTGACTTTCCTCCACCAATCGATCGCAGTTGCCGGTACGAGCGCTTACCTTCGAGTCCAAGTTCAAGGTGTTTGTAACTTTCGATAGAAAATGCTTCCACATCGGGACCTCTCCTGAATAAACTAAAACCCTCCAAATGTTATCCGGAAAAGTCTACCAAACTTAAGTAAGGTTGATGAGGTAGGAGGATGGGGAAGCCGCTTAATATTGCGGGTAAGGTTTGAAAGAAGTTCATCAAGGTGAGGGAAGTTGGATGTGGAACGACGACGGTAGTTAACGAGCCCTGATCAAATTTGCCATGCGTAGCTTTGCTTCCGCCATCATCACTACTTCTTCGACAAAAGGGGAAAATCTCGAATTTTGGCCCCCCCCCAGATCCCTTCACTGGCTGTCCCCGCGGACTATCTTACGGACTGCTCATCCACCACCACAACCACGCCACCGTCACACAATCCCTTCAATTGATTTAAAACCACAAATTCCAACCGTAATTTCAGCGCATAGAAAAATGGATGAAGCATACATTTCACAACCAGCCATCCAGCATAAAAGAATCCCGTCAATATTCCATCAAGTGCGATGACGAAAAGTTGCATGGATATAAGCGCGATGATACCCCTGCGAGTTTTGTGTGAGGTATATCCAGATCTGAGGAAGCGTGCCGTGTGGTAAATGTACAATATTGCAATTACAGATTCTTGAGTTGCGAAAACTGTTTGTTGTAAGGGCTCGAAGATTAGTGCTGCGGGGAGAAAAGTCGATGGAAGCGGTGATATTACGAGGGCGAATTCCAGTACTGCTGTGGAAGTATGGAAAACGACAGCGTTAGTTGTGATCATCGCCAGGACCGCTTTCAGTATTCGTGGATCCCTCACCACGAGGTGGAGACGTGAGTACAACACCAGGGAAAATCCAGTGACGTTTCCGATCCACCCAATTTCGGTGATAATTAGGTTGGTGAGTTGGGGAGAAGTGCTTATTAGTTTACTGAGGATGTATCCTGTTGTCTGGAGGATTATTCCTAGGGCGGTTATGGTGATGGCGGAGAAATAAAGCGTCTTGTGTTGTTTGAATGCGCAATACGCGAGGAGTACTAATTCGAGACTTATCCAGTATGCCAAAGCTGAAAATGATGCGAAGAGGGAGAAGACGATTGGGCTGTTGTAGGTGTTAGTCAAGAAGGGATGGTGATCTGGTTTCGAGAAGACTTACTTCCAAGCCAGCTGTCCTCCATCGCCGAAACCCCAATCGTATTGAGAGAGTGGAACAAAGGTTGTGCAGTGTTCTTCTTCCAACATGATGGTATTCGAACATGAGTGAATGGGGATAAATCATCTCTCTACCACCAGTGAATGTCCATAGTAAGAGATAGGGATAGAATGCGATCCCATGGTTGATGTACTGATTATTCCTGCACGAAAATCTGCCGACCTATCATGCTGAATATGTATCCGGCGAAGACGAGTTCCATTCATGATAAGATTTGGCACTTGGTTCTGGGAAGAGATGACATACTTGGAATGGAGTGTTCTGTGGGCCACAGTCGTAAACTCCGAACCTAGCCTTATGCAGCGTTGACTCAGCAATGCGTGCATGAGGTGAAGGCCGATCGCGCCGATTTGTGCATGACATCGTGGGGAGGATCCAAACAAGATAAGAAGCCGGATTTAGACTCTTTGCTTTGAGGGATAAACCGGGGTTATCTCCTCGTCAATCGGAATTTTGTTGAGATATACTTCCCCATAGTTGTGCAGCTCTGAAGTTCAGGTCTTCTTCGAGGTGAATCAGGCCATGCTCGGAAGTTCGAAGACGAGATATTGAATACCACTCAATCAGTCGTCTTGAGAGAAATCCTCTCCGTAACGATCTTCTCATATTCTTCAAGATTAAGCCCTTTCGCTTCCCACAGCATAATAGCTTGTACGTGAACGCATTTTGATACTCTTTCAACTTCATCGTCTTTCCCCATGTTGTTCATCTCTTTTGAACACGAATATTTGGAGGACTTGCAGTCCATAACATACCCCACTATATTTACCCAATTTCCATCCTGGATAGCAGAGCCTTTGATATCGTTGAGAACGATATCGAGGTTTACTTTTGCAATGAGGTTTGCTGAAACAGGAGATATAGTCGTGGGGTGTTTGAGAAAGAGGCTCGCGGAGCGAGAGTCGTAGCTCTCTACGCTGGAGGCATCATTAGTTTAGATTTTAAGGAATTGGAAGAAAATAGTGGATTTACCAGCCCAAAAAGCGAACTTTGTCTCCAAGCTTGAGATTCGGTATGTCATGAAGAAAGACAAGTATGCTTGGGATAGACCCCGCCATTCTCGAATTTAAGGAATCAACATGCTATTTGAACATATCTTTCGTTCCCAATGAGAGAAAGCACAATCCTGACTTTTGATATTATGGTCTTCTTTGTTGTAGATGTGATGGGGAATACCCTAGTAAATCGTTGCGCACGTGCAGGTCTTGGCTGATGAGGACCAAGCTCCGTCACGACCTCACCATACCGCCGGATATCAAAGACATAGAATCACCAAGCGAAACCAGGCACCCACATAAACCCAGCACCCCCCTCTTCTCTACAACACCCTCCTTCCCAGCCCAGGACTTCAACACTCACTAAGTCGGTCAACATCATCCAACGACAAAGGACCCTCCCCTCCACCGCCCCGCTACCGCCTATCGCCGCCGTATCTTAGAACTCCACCTGCCCGTGTGTTCCTCAGTAGAGCCCACCAAGTCAGTCTATTCTCTGGAGGAATCTCGCGGATATCTACTACTGCCATGTGGGGCTGGTTTGGCGGCGGAGCCGCTACAAAGAAAGATGCGCCTAAGAAGGCTATCCTACAGTTGAGGAGTCAGTTGGAGATGTTGAGTAAAAGGGAGAAGCATCTGCAGAATCAAATGGACGAGCAAGACAATCTGGCGAGGAAATACGTAAATTCTAATAAGAACGGTGAGTTTTTGCCTATCCTATCTCCCGGCGAACAGTGAAGCTGGCATCCATGGACGGTTATGGAGAGATCAAGGATGGAGTTGTTGGGAATATGAGTGCTAACACGTATTGGGCTCTAGCTGCCAAAGCCGCACTCCGACGAAAGAAACAATTCGACCACGCCCTCGAACAGACTCGAGGTCAGATAATGACGCTAGAAAGCGAAATTTACAGTATAGAAACCGCGAATATCAACAAAGAAACCCTGGATGCTATGAAGAACGCCAGTTCAGCGATGAAGCAAATACACGGTGGTCTCACGATTGATAAGGTCGATCAGACGATGTACGTACATAACATAATACACTTCTACTTGCATCTGCATCTGTTGGGTGGCATGACAGGAAGGGTCGCATGCTTGGAGAGTGATGCTGATACATTTTTTAGGGAGGAACTCCGCGAACAACACGCCATAGGCGAAGAAATAGGCGAAGCAATCACACAATCCATTGGTAATCAAGGTCTCGACGAGTCAGAGCTGGATGACGAGTTGGAAGCGTTGCAGCAAGAGGTTCTTGATGATAAGATGCTTAATACGGGACACGTGCCTGTGGCGGATCAGATTGGAAGATTACCTAGTGCGCCGAACACAGGTATATTCCGCAATTCTCCAATATGTACCGAGACCGGAAACGCTAACTCTGCAAGCAGTCAAAGGGAAAGCGCCTGTGCATGCTGAGGAGGAAGATGAAGAGGAGGAACTCAGGAAGTTGCAGGCTGAGATGGCAATGTGATTGTACCCGGTCCTACTTTTCCCCCTTCTTTTGAACTCGATACATACCCTCCTCACTTACCCCAAGATTTTGTACTGCTGTTATTCATTTACGATGGAGTTTGGACCGGGATGAAGGCGCTAGTATATGCATATCTCCGATGAAGGCCTTCTTGTATTCTGCCATCTGAAGACTTTGCGGGGGTGGTTTGTCTAGCACGTATTTTAGCAATCTTACTTGTGGCAATGAAGCCCCATCTTCCAACAATAGATACTCCTCGGGTTTATTGAAAGCCGGATAACCCCCGAGGATTCTAAGCCATAAAAAATTTCCCGGCTGCATTAAATTTATTTCAGTACACTAACGACTCCCGGCCTTAAGTAATATAGCTTCTAGAGGAGTAGGTACAAACTCTTAAATACTTTTAATCATGCTTAGGTGGATTTATATACTCTATAACGCTAGAGTTTATCCGGCTTTTAAAAAACTTGAGGAGTAGAGTATGTGTAACTTCTATGTTCCTGTAGATGTGCCAATCTACGAATTTTGTGAAACTATCAACGCACACGCCGATGGCAATTTTCTTGGTGTAAACCATGCTGTCAAAGTGCTAGAGCCAATAAAGAGAGATACAAAGCGAAAACATGAATATGAATATGACAACTAGAAACACACAAGGCCCTTCAATTTTGGTCCTTTTGACGAATCGCGTTTCAACCTTGTGTAATTTGGTTACTAAGTACTCCTCAAGTTTTTTGAAAGCCGGATGGCCTATCACCGGAACAATAAGATCCAAGTTTTTCTCCAGCTATCATGAATTTAAATTAGTGTACTGACGACTCCGGATTGGACTATTATATTGATCGTTAGAGTAAGTAAGTCCACTGAATTAATATTGTGATAATTATACGACTTCAGATATTTAGAAATCCTGAACTCTAGCCGGCTTTGACAAAACTTAAGACGTATGCACAAAAAAGTATGAGAGCTTTCTACGTGTATGCAAAGTAAGAGTACTCCGAAAATAAACAAGTCGTCAACAAGATCCGGAAGGTGGGCCCAAAAAAGACAAAAATTATATCGTGTTGGACGCTATGGGAATTGAACCCCTGGATATGAATTAGTGATAGTCTTCAAAGTGTCAAAACATTTTGAACTTACACGACCAAACTTGCATAATACAAAGCGGATATCATACACCTATAGTAAAAGGAAAAAAACCAAAAAGTGAAAGTTGGACATTGTGGGAATTGAACCCCTATAGTGTATGATTAGTGATGGTCTTTCATGTGAAGTTAGGATAACTTACACGACCATCCGCAATTTTGCTTATGCAAAGCGGATATCATACCCCTAGACCAAATGCCCGGTCGATTTTGAAATTGTTTTGTTACATATGAACTATATAACTTCAAAAATCGATAGAAAATACTTTCTAGAGGTCGAATTTGGTAGTTACGGTCGGTATCGGGTTTTCAATTTAGTAGTATGTAGTATTTATTCTAATACTTTATAATGAGGTATTTTGCTACTAAACTAAATTTTTTAGCCCTTTAGTTATAGGTAATATATTACTAAGCTATATTTAGTAGGTAGTAAACTAGAATAATACTCTACTATTTCTCTAAAATACGAATCTAAATTTTAGAAAGTTAAAATTTAGAAGCGTTTTCTTGGAATAACTTTTAAAATACTAGAGCTATAGACTTAATTTTTTCTATATAGATAGATATATTATATACCTAGAGGTCTAAAATATAGAAATATATAGTTCACTATATAAATTACTACTAAATTAGACTTTTATATACTTTACTATTTTTAATAACTTCTTTAGATTAAGAGATATAAATATAAAATCTAATAACTATATAGATCTACTAAAGTCTTAGAGATTCTATATATAATATTTATTATTATTATATATTATAGCTAAGAATTCTATTCTTAGTCTATTTTACTTATTCTCTAAATTCTAATAAATAAATAAATAGACTATCTATAGTAGTTTTACCTAGTATTTTAAGTTCTAAATTTATATCTCTTAATCTAAAGAAGTTATTAAAGAAATAGTAAAGTATATAAAAGTCTAATTTAGTAGTAATTTATATAGTAAACTATATATTTCTATATTATAGATCTCTAGATATATAACATATCTATCTAGAGTATTGACCCCACCAATGAACCAACCCTACCTAT